GATATATATATATATATATCAAGAGCTAATAATACCTAGTATTATTAGCTACTAATACCTAGGTATTATTAGCTCTTGATATATATATATATATATCAGGACAAAGTGTCTTCATTAACTCCTGATATATATATATATATATCCGGGCATAGACAAGTTCATGATAATGCATCATGATATCGCAGCTATATGCCAGCTGTATATTAACGAATGCCAATCGGACGGCCGTGACAGCGACACAGTTGCACAACACTCATTATATGAAATGGAAATAAAGATGGAAATACTCTAACCAACACGCACTGTAGACGCAATCGGCTCTCGCGACAGTGTTACGATGACTTCAAATAACGTACTTACCTAACTAATAAAAAATATATCTCGGGTCGGGTTGAAATTTCCTTGTAAAGGTCGGCAAACTCCTTGGAGCTGAGACGGCCCTTTTCCTCGTCCGGGGGCTTGCTCTGTTCGATTTCCTGAAATGAGACATTCAACGACAACCTGTATCAGCAGAAACTGAGCGACACAATAAAATCGCATTAACACGAGACCAATTGACCAAGCGCTGCTGACTATTCATGTTGTTTTTTTCATCGCGACACATCCTTACCAATATTATCCTTACCAACATTATATTATCCTGTCTAACATTTCTTTAATTCGTCGACAGCCTTGCACGTAAAGTAAATTACCTACGCGAACATGAGGAGATTTTTTCGAAAGCTTTCACGTGCTCCAATATCAATAAGCGGGTAAAATTGTAACGTACGGCATGAATTAAATGCGTAAACGATTCAGTTGAAGTACTTACGCTTCATGACAACAAAATCAAAAGGCTCAGTCGCGTAATTATTCCTCTCGGAATGATAATGATGTGTTTTACCCGACACGGCTCTGCCTACACTAACACACAAGCTGCGACCAAACAAAACTGACGGATTCATTCGTGTAACTCGCCGACAGATAAACGCGTTTTCGCACTGCCACCCACTCACTGCCGACTCTCGCGTACAAACTATATAACCGAACAAAAACTGAGATAACGTCCAGTCAAGTAATACTCGAACATATGACGTTTTCCCCGCGACCTTCTGCCGACCTTCACGTACAGGCCGTAACAAAACGAAACTGCGAAATGTCATGCTATATGTCATTGTTGAACAGACGATTCGTTTATATGAAAGTGTCAATGACACTGTAGCTCACCACAAAAAAGGACACAAATGAGTGAGTAAGAAGAAGTCAGTTTTAATTGAGCAACCATCGACGTACATTATAGAAACGATTGCCATCTGTATATCGCAATAATAATTTATAAACCAAAATGAATCACAATTTGTGACCGTAGATGGCGCTATACCTGCCGCTGCTGCATAACGGATACAAGCGCTCTCTATATTGTATAGATTGTATAGACACCATCTCATCGGCGAAGTGGTGGAAGAGTGCGCGCCCGGGTGAACTCACAAATCCGCCCGCCATGTAGCGGCTCCCCCTCCCACGCACGCCTTACGAACGATGCCCGCTGAGTGTTACATATCTCACACAAGCCTGCATGCAGAAGGGATTTCTCGACATTTCTCTCTTCGCACTCTCCTCGCACTCTCACGTCGCACATCGACTCGCTCGCGCACTCACACCGACGCACGCACGCAAGCACTCGGCTGTGTCCGTAATCTGTGAATCGTCCAACCCCAGCCGCCTGTCACGTAGATGCATGCGTCGCAGGTGCCACCAAATTGACACATAATGGACAGTTGAAATGCTATCAGCCGATTCGATGGTGGGGTTCGTGATGGACTTCGCATAATCTAGTTGCCCGTGTGCGGTGTCGCAGAGAGTAAGGCAGTTGGGAGTGATCAAGAGCACACGAACTGCACACCAGCACGTATATATGGTATATACATACATAGTATATACATAATATAGTATGAGCTATGAGCACATATAGTATCGCATACGGTGTGGTATAGTCTAAGGACTAGGAGCACAGATAGTTTATGTTATCTTGGAGTAATGTGGTCGCGAGGGCAGTTAGACACACACCGACAGATACCACCCAGAAGGACGAGCAGATAAATACGGTACATCGCCCTATATAGCTCATATGCTGACCTCTCACTCGCGGAAATTGTTGGTATTTCCCCGAGAGGGCAATCCTAAATCCGAAATCAATATTTCTTCTAATTAATAATAATAATAATAATACTGGAGAGGATAACGCATCGTCGGTGTACGCTAATGTACGGGTCGCAGGTGTGTGTATGAGCAGGTGCGAATACTAGAGACAGAGACATGTCGCACCTCACACTTAATGCTGCATGCGTCGTGCCGCGAAAATAACGGTTCCTTACCTTTACCGAGCTTACCATTCAGTTCGGTAGATAATGATAAATTGTTAATATTACTGCTGTTGTTAATATGTGATAATATCAGTAGTGAATAATAGAGAAATAATTCTGAATCTCTATTATTCACTCCTGATAATATTGTTAAAAATATACGATCGCAATGAGACAAATTTATAATTGGCAACAGCTCGGATTTTGTTGTACAAAGGGAAATACTATTTATAGCAACGCTCGTCTAATCTCTGCCGTACAGAGCTCTTGGAACGTTCGCTCACACATTCAAACGGCAGATATCTCAAATGACACAGTACTGGACCGCTGCTAAAGTTAGCTAAGAAATCTGTTTGAAATTCAGTATTACGGAGTTACATCGTGCGATGTGTAGACGAATTATCCAGAAATAATTGCGTATACGCGGAAAGTCGAAACCCATTTTGCCGACATTCGCAATTAGAGTCAGCATCTTCCTCAATATGGACTCGTCACAGCATCTCTTGGTTAATTTCCCAGCTGCTTTAATGGCACAGCGATATCTACGCACGACTCCCACATAACGTTTCTCTAGATTGTCGGGCTATAGCGCAATAAGCTTTGCTCCCGGACGCGTCAGCGACAATAGCCCACTGCAACAGCTTTCTAATCTTAGTGCCCTTACTGGTTATTTATACTCGCATAGGATAACGAATAGAAATATTGTAACTAGTGTGAAAATAGTATGAGTATTCTCGAGTCTACATTACTGTCAGGCATACTCGCGAATGCTGGGCCACACTTAAAACGTCTGAACTAAGTATGAAGTATAAAGGTTTGATCCGATCGCCTCCAACATACGTACAACCTTACAGGCCATGGCGATAGTATAGTGCGATAGTATAGTATAGTGTCATTTAGTTACGTTCCAGTTACGCCTTCCAGATTTGAAGGAAAATCTCACTTAGCGATTAGTTGATAGCTTTTAGACACCCATGTTTAAACTCGGGCTGTTTCGTGACAGCTATTTAGCCTAGAAAACGACATGAACATGTACGCACGCACTCACGCAAGCACACACGCAAGCACGCACACACGCTCACACGCACGCTCATACGCACGCAAGCACGCACACATACACGCAAGCACACATGCAACCACGCACACACACGCACACGCACGCACGCACGCACGCACGCA